CCCCAGCTCCCTCCTGCCAGTCAGTGGAGCGCGCACCGCCTCGCCGCCCTTCCTACCCTCTTCCGTGGGCCTCTCTTCTGCGCTTGGCTCCGTAGACTCTGTTCTGCTAATCCTCTGGCGGTTTTCTGGGTTATTTAGGCAGGTGTAGGTGGAATCTAAGTGATCAGCAGGACCGCAGTGAGCCCAGCGTCCTCTTATGCCGCCATCTTCTTCCAGCCCCAATCTAAACAATTAAGTCTAGAGTAGAGTGATGAAAAGATATGAGAAAGCTGAGGAGAAGGCTAAAGATTGCAAAGGTGGCAGAGATGTTGGTGGAACAGGTCTGGAGAATAGAGAAAACTGAATCCTCTTGAAGAAGAATCGTCAATTTACAGCCAACAGATTCTAGTCAACTGATAGAGATTGGGTGACACCAGAGAGAAACTGAAACTAGAGAGCCTTTTGTTTTCTTTTTTCTCTGTCTATACACTATTATCATTTATAGTAGGTTTCTCTCATAGTGTGTGGGAGATGTTTTCACTATAAGTTTTGATTGTGAAATGTTTGAGGGAGAGAAATTTTATTTGGAAAATGCTCTCAGATACAGAAATTAGGGCCTACATTGTAAGCTCCTAGAACAGTCACATTTGTTCCTGGCTTTGGTTGTTTTTTCTAAATTTTGAGGTGTTTGCTTTTTGTTGTGTGACATGCTAGCTCTCTAGAACCTTAGATCTGTGTGTGATACAGGAGACTCAAGAGTTGGAGTTTTTCAGCCCTGGAGGTACTGAAGTAACTGCAGTAATTTTAGGTGTCTCCATGTAGCAGTTGTCAAAGAAAGGACCAGGCTTCAACTGTGGATATGAATGGGGCTGATCTGGCCGGGACTGATCAATCAGAAGAAGGGATGGAGGATAATATTGTCTGTATTTTGGGACTTTAATTTCTGTATGAGATCAAAGAAGGAGAAATAATTTGTTTGAAATTTAAATTTTATGTGACACTGTCTGATATAACCTGTCTGGTCATTTTATTTGGACAACCTATCTCAGCTCTATTTGACATGGAACCTAAAATAGGAAATGAGATCTTGGTACTTTGTATAAATTGATATATTCTTAGGCATTTCAGGGGATTCCGAATATAAAATGAAAGATATATTTGCTAAGGAATTTAAGGGGCTGGGGGAAGAAAACATGAAATTGTCTGTATTGGACCCCAAATTGGACAGGGAGGAGGCATCTCCAAGGTTCATGAATTGTCCAGCTATAAATTCATTTGAATAGCAGCTCTGACAAGTCTTTGAGATCAAAACCTTACTATGTTGGTGGAAATATTCATTTCCTTGAAAAAGACTTTTAAAAGAAAAAGACCTTTAAAGGGTGTGATATTTCATAATTGAAAATATTAAGAGTACATAGAAGGTCAAAAGAAATGTGTTTACCAGAATGAGAATGAATTATTTGTAGCTGCGTGTGAGAACCTTATGTGTAAAATATTTTGAAATTTCTAATTTCTCTGCTCTGTCTTCCCATGGCCTTGGTTAACTTCTTTTGTGTCTCATAAGGACATTTGTAGTGACATTTAAGGCCTACACAGATAATCGAGTAATCTCTTCTTTTTCAGAATCTGTAATTATATCTGCATTCTTTTTCCAAATAAGGTAATGTGGGTGGCCATATTTCATCCTACTACATGTAGTGTGGCTAAAGCACTGTAAGATGAAACAAGAGTGGTAGAAAATGAAGTCAGAGAGGGAAAGGGAAAAGCAAAGGGAGAGGGGCCTGAAGGTAGTTGTGAGCTTAGAGTTAGTAGGACTGGCTTGACTGGGTGTGGGGAGTGAAAGAGAGTAATCAAGGTTGATGTCTAGTTTTTTTAAATTTTATTATTTTATTTAATTTAAGTATAATTGATACACAATATTAGTTTTGGGTGTATAGTGATTTGACAAGTTTGTATGTTAAGGTATGCTGATGATAGTGTAGCTACCATCTGTAAACCATACAATGCTGTTTCAGTATCATTGACTATATTGCTTGTGTTGTACCATAGACTTCTTTTAAGTTTAAGCAACTGGATAGAAGATGGTTCCATTTGCTGAAATGGGGAATCTCCGAAAAATGTATAAGCTTGGGAGGGGTAAAAACAAAGAATGCTAGCTTTGTTGTGTTCAATTTGGGATGGCTATGAAAACATAAAAGTAAAATAGCTTTTATGCATTAGTTGCTTAGAAGAGGGATCAGGGATATAGATATAAATGTGGTAATTATCAGGGCGCCTGGGTGGCTCAGTCGGTTGAGCGTCCGACTTCAGCTCAGGTCATTATCTCGCAGTCTGTGACTTAGAGCCCTGCGTCGGGCTCTGTGCTGACAGCTCAGAGCCTGGAGCCTGCTTCGGATTCTGTGTCTCCCTTTCTCTCTGGCCCTCCCCCGCTTATGCTCTGTCTCTCTCTCTCTCTCTCTGTCAAAAATAAACATTAAAATAAATGTGGTAATTATCTGTATATTAATGGGATTTTTTAAATTTATTAAAAAAATTTTTTTTAATGTCTATTTTTGAGAGAGAGCAAGACAGCTGTGAGCAGAGGAGGAGCAGAGAGAGACAGACACAGAGGATCCCAAGCGGGTTCTGTGCACTAACCATGAGATCGTGACCTGAGCTGAAACCAAGAGTTGGACAGTTAACTGATTGAGCCGCCCAGGTGTCCCTGTGTGTTAATGGGATTTAAAGCTACGAGACTAGGTAAAGTTCACAGTGTAAAACAGATTTAGAGGGCTTGACCCTGGATAGTCCAACTTGAGAGGTCCAGTATAAGAGGAGCTGGCAAAAGGAGACTGAGGAGGAAGTAGCCACTGGAGCAAGAAAGAAAACAAGAGAATTGTGGGTTCCTTAAGCCAAGAGGAGAATGTTATAAAGAGGAAGGAAATAGTCTGTCATTTCAAATGCTGCTGAGAGCTCTGGTAGAATGAAAGATAAAAGTAGTAATTTTATTACATAATTTCCTTATTAAAAGCATTTTCATTGTAGAATGAGATGGAAGCTAAACTGGAGTAGATTTAAGGAAAAAAGGGATATGAAAAAGTAGAGGCAGCAACTAACTGTAGACATTTTGTTTTAAGAGAGCGAAGTGCTGCAGTAGCAGAAGGGAATATGAAGGTAATTTATTTTTAAGGTAATGAAAAAGGGTAAGAATTTTTAATGATGTTTTGTTTCAGAATTTGCCTTGGAATTTTTAAATTTCGTGTATGTGGAATATTAAATTCCACAGCCTGAAGGTCATCTAATAATAATTTTTAAGTTCTTGACTGCCAAAGTGTCTCATTACCTTTATTAGCTTTATATCACTTAAATAAAACCAGAACTTTTTTGGATTCTAGTCACTTGATAATACTTTGGCCACTAGGAAAAAAAAGTCTTCAAAATTGCACTTTAAAGATAGAAAACTAGATCATTCTTGTTTTAATGTCTATGGTAATTGTAAATTGGAACTTTATACTGTAGTAATTACCAAAATCCCAAAAGTATTTGCCTTTCTGTTCTTAATAACTCAGAGAATAATTGGGTGGCTTTTGGGCTTTATAAAAGTAGTTTTAAAAATCATTTAGTGTCTTTTGTGAAATAAATCTTAGAAAATAAGTATTACTGAGGCACCTGGGTGGTCAGTTAAGTGGCTGACTTCAGCTCAGGTCCTGATCTCACCGTTCATGAGTTCAAGCCCAGCATAAGGCTCTGTGCTGACACCTCAGAGCCTGGAGCCTGCTTCACATTATGTGTCTCCCTCTCTCTCTGCCCCTACCCTGCTCATGCTTTGTCTCTCCCTCTCAAGAAAAAAGAGTAAGTAAACATTGAAAAATTAAAAAAAAAA